GGCCGATCTGCTGCTGCTGTCAAGCGAGACCAGGCCGGTGAACACGGAGAGCCTGTCTGTCTTCGGTGAGTCCTTCGAGAAGTGCAGGGACACGATCATTGCCAGGACCAAAGGACTCTCCATCTTGACCCACGACGTCCAGAGCCAGCTCAACATGGGACGCTTCGGGGAGGTGGGAGAAAGCCTGATGGAGATGGGGGAGCTGGTGGTCTCCCTGACCGAATGCTCTGCCCACGCTGCCTACCTGGCTGCCGTGGAGACTCCGGGCGCCCAGCCTGCTATGCCTGGCTTGGTGGATCGCTACAAGGTGACCCGATGTAGGCATGAGGTGGAGCACGGCTGCGGGGGCTTGAAGACCACCCCTTTGGCAGACATGAGCCCTCAGCTCCTGCTAGAGGTTTCTCAGAACATGTCCAAGAACTTGAAATTCCTGACAGACGCCTGTGTGCTGGCCAGTGAGAAATCCAAGGATAAATTTGCTAAGGAGCAGTTCAAACTCAGTGTCAAATGTATGAGCACCAGCGCCTCTGCCCTCTTGGCCTGTGTCAAGGAGGTCAAGACTTCACCCAGCGAGCTGACCAGGAACCGATGCGTCTTGTTCAGTGGACCTTTGGTGCAGTCTGTCTATGCTCTGGTGGGCTTTGCCACTGAGCCTCAGTTTTTGGGTAAAGCTGCCACCATAAATCCAGAGGGCAAAGCTGTGCAAACTGCCATCCTAGGAGGAGCCATGAGTGTGGTATCTGCTTGTGTGCTCCTGACCCAATGCCTCAGGGATATAGCCCAACACCCCGAAAGTAGCACCAAAATGAGCGATTACAGGGAAAGGTTGAGGAACTCAGCTTGCGCCGTCTCAGATGGTTGCAACCTGTTATCTCAGGCACTAAGAGAAAGATCTTCACCCAGGACTTTACCGCCAGTGAACTCCAATTCTGTGAATTAACCCCCACATCTTCTGTTTAGATCCTGGTCATTGCTAAAGGAAAATAATATCCCACCTCCTCACCCCGTTTTTGTATACCAAAGAATTTGCTTGGATGAGCCCAGTCCTTTGATTTCATGCGGTGAAGAAGCAGAACATACTCAAACTATATGTACTAATAACGGTAGCCAGTTTTGGCTTCTTATTTTACTTTAAGGTCAAGCAAGTATCGGCAGATAAATTTTCCTTTATTCAACAAGGTCTTCACACAAATGGTAATAACAACTGTTTAAAAGGTTTTGGTTTTTTTTAATATTTGGGGAGGTGGGGGTATCTTAAAAAAAAAGAAGAGAGAAAAAAAGCTTTAATCGCGCTGGGTGCGGTTTTTAAAGTTTGTCTTGTCTTGTCTTCCGAAATTTCCCTTCTAAATTTTACTGTTCGGTTGTGCAGGAAAAAGGTTACCTCAGTTCTCACTCATTTAAAAAAAACAAAAGCGGAAAAAGCCCAACAACACATAGATGATGGATGTAGCTACTATTTTGTTTGGTTTTGTTTTGTAAGACTTTTTTTTTTTTATTTTGCATCAAGTGTTAGGTTAGAAGTGCATTTGGTGTGTAGGAGTGGAAGGACTGGAGGTTGTGATTATGTTTTCCATGTGTTGATTTCCAAACTGGGGGAAAAGCTACTGTGAGTGTTTAAACAAACAAACAAACAGTTACACTATAACAAAAGTGATTTTTAATTTTTTTTTTCCAATGTCAGTTTTTATCTTGCATGTACTGGAGTATTTATTTCATCTATTAAAATGTTATGTTTCTCAGATGTCTTTCTGTGAATCTCTTAATACTTGAATAATTGAACAGCTAGGCCTGTTTGCATTGTATGTCATTTCCCCCAGGGAATGGGTGGTACAAATGTAACTGTAGTTCTAGACGGCAGCGTACAGGCTTCAGTTCAGTTCTTTTATTTTCATAAATACTGTCCCTCCCCCAGTGCTACCACCCCTCCTCCTCAGGACGCCTCTGACAGCGATACTCGGGGTTGTATTTATGGAAAGCTGGACAGGGCTGTGTGCATCGGCATCGCTCTGTCTGCAGAGCCCGCGGCCGCTGCAGCAGGCCACAGCCTGGCCTTGTCTTTATCAGCATTCTCTGTTATTTTTTGAGAAGGTTTTGCATTTTAACTCCTGCAGTTGTTACGGGCCACCTGTGTTAAAATTCCTGAGTTTCCATCTTAATTTAGTAAGGATTTCTTAAAAAACTTGACCCTGCTGAGTAGCACTGCTTGTTCCATCCGGCTGCTTAAGATTGTGAAGGTTTGCTAGAGCAGGACCTTTGATTCCTCAGAGATTAGTGTTAAAGCTCCTCAGGACAGCTTTTTGTCAAGGTAGCTGGAGTTTGATGGTGTAGGTAGGAGGAAAAGTTAGATAACTTTTGAGGTCCACTCCACCTCTGGTTGAATTCCTTGGGAACTGTGAGTGGACCTTAGGGTATGCTGCAGTAGTTCCTGTAATTGCAATGCTGATTTTTTTCATCCTGGTCTTTGTGAACCTGTAGGATCTGTTGCCTTCTATAGGTTCTGTGAAAAGTAAATAGAAGAGCGAGTCTTCTGGCAAGGAGGCTTTGTGTGTCTGCCCAGCTCCATTGCATAATGGGTTGGTTTTTTTTACAGGTCTGCAAATTGAACAATGGTGAAAGCTATTGGAGAATGTACCTTAACAGTGTCGTTAATGTGGTTTAAACCTTTGTTGTACAAGTATTGTGCTATTTATTCCTTTGAAGAAGTAAACCTCTTGAGTTTTGCTATGGAACAGTCCTGGCGTAGTGAAGGGTCTTCCCTATTACAGCATTATTGTTTCTCTTGCACATGGTGCTTTTACCTAATATCAAAGAGGGGGTGAAACCTTACTGGGTGGACATCCTGTTGAAGGAGATGCAAGCTAAGCTTATATATCTGTATCTTCAAGGTTAGAAAAAAAATAATTCACAGTATTAGGTTTTGTTTATTTTTAAATGAAACTTTTCTGAGTTCAATGAATTGTACGATGAGGACTGTGTGAAAAATCAGGCCAAGCTAGTCCTCTGGGACATGGTTTTCTCACTACGTTATGTCTGGTGCAATATAAGGCCAGCAGTATATGCTGCAGAGGCATGGATGCCTGCATCTCTGTGGTATAGTATAAAAGTTCTCTCACTTGTTTTTCATAAATAAATAAATATATACACATGCTGTTCTAACTCAGATGCCTCTGCAGGTATTTCCTCGGAGGTTCTCTCGCATGTGCAGGCACACAGGTTTTCCCATCCGGATGGCAGGAACAGCTGTAGGACTCTGGAGGGATTCACAGGAGGCCAAGGCCATCTCCAGGGAGGTCCTGTGCCTCTGTAGTGTTGGCAGTTGTCTGCTCAACTGTCCTCCTTCCCTGCCTCCCTTGTAGCACGTCTCAGCAGAAGCCAGGATACCGTCCCAATCTGCCCTTCCTCCTTTTCTGCAGTTGCACTGAGGGGAAGGAGGAAAAGGGGATTGTAGCAGACGTAAGGCGTGCAGGATGTCCTATCTTCTGTGGCTGCAGACAGGAGGTGAGGTGCTGGCTCCACCCTTCCTTTGCATAGATCCTGGAGGGTGCAGAACTCCGTGTGGGACGTGCGGAGTCGGTGCTGAGGAGGCTGCGGGGCAGAGCTCCCCGGGAGGGCACAGGTACTAGGGCAGCATCCTTTAGCTCCGGTTCTTTTTAAGTTACCGTGACCTACATTTGGGAGGCCCGCTTCCAGATACAAACCAGAGCATTCTGAAGGGCAGCTCTGCAGCCTGTCTGACAAAAAAAATAAATTAATGTCCCACTGGCTCTTTTGATGTTTCTACTTAATAATTTTAGGTGCTGCTGAACTAATTAGATTCTTTTTTATTAATTTATACATTACTGAGGTTATATGGATCACTGTGCACCCTCCTTATTACCTCTGCATATGAAAGCTCATGGATTATTAGTGACGATGGTGACAATTTTTGTTGTGGTATGATTTTAAGTGGTTTAGGGCAATTTTTCTTTCAAAAAGAATATTGCAGATTCTTTCCCCCCTTTCTGATTATATTTGGAACTGAAGTACATGCATATATATAAAAATAACTATATATCTTCTTTTCCCTTTTTTAACATGGAAGGAGAACAAACCGCTCTAGATCATCTCCCTTTGCTTTTGGGGGGATTCAGGTTTATAAAATAAAATGTGAAATGTAGCCAGGCCATGATTTAGTTAACAGACTGATTACAAAAAATATATAAGCACAAACAGTAAATTCACTAAAGTAACTTACTGTAATGTTTTACAATAATAGCAGTTTTAGCACCGCAAAATGTTCTATCATTTCTTTCTAGAGCAGAATTCACACAAAGGGAGCCCATGTACTCCCTGGCCTCAGCTCAAGAGAGTATCTGTCAAAATCTGTGCCATTTGTGTAATTAACACAGCAAAGTTCAAAAACAAAAGGCTTCTGATGCAAACAAGTACAAATGTTTTTATGCACTCAGAGTAAATGATTAACAGGAAAAAAGTCTATATATACATATGCACATTGTGGCATTTTCTGGGTTTAAAGAGTGTGGTTCCACTACTAGGCGTCAACATACATGTATTTTAAATGCTGCAGTGCCACGTTTGTGAAGACTTAATGTATATTGTGATAATTTATTTGGAATGTATTCCTGTAGAATATTAATTCTGATCCAAAACATTTTTTTTAGTAAGTATATTCCCATTGTTCGTTTACCTTGTACTCTCTGGGACAGAAAAAAATACAGAATGGACTAGTTTTCAGGGTGCAATTGCAGGCTACATCAGGGCCACTGATTAACACTCAGCTTATGTTGCCCAAATGCTTACACCATTTAGGGCAACAGGTAGCGTCACTGTTTCAGTTCAGGCTTAGGCAAGTATGAGAGGTGTTCTCTGATCTTTAACCTTGGTGATTTTGACAAAAGAAAACTTAATATTTCAGGGTACTTACCACATAATATCATAGATCTAATCCTCTAGTGCATTTAATAAAAGGGTTAACTTATTTCTAAACACATTATGCAATGCACATTTGTATCCAAAACCCACTATTACCACCAGAAGAGCATTAAGCTTATTTTTTTTTAAATGTAGAAATTTTTTAACAGGGAAGAAGTTGTCACTTTTATATCATCTGTGAACTTGGTATTACCTTCTGGTTGCTCCTTCATCATAACAGAGTTCGTTATTGGTTTAAAACAGCAGCTTAATCTCTGGGGTTTTTTCCCTGATCCTAAAAAAAAATAAAAAAATAAGTTCTGTAAGACAACCAGTAAACTAGCAGCAAAATGCCATTGAAAAGCAAGTACACTATTTAAGGGAACTTACAGATGTAACTCCATGTTATTTTTCAAAACTAAGAGAAAAAGACCATGGGTCAGATAATTCCCTTCACTTTTTACCACAGGAAATGATCAAAGTAGCAGAAAATCTGCTCTTTTTGGCCAAACTTCTGTCAGAGACAGAAGGGGTTGAGCCAACACATGGTGTACGCAGCCTTGCAGCAAGAGGGATGTGGCTGATGGGAAAGGAGGTGGAACCAGAGAAAATCTGTAGGGTAATACCTCCTATTAAACCCACAGGAATTTTCCTATTCTAGATAAAACAGAGGCTGTTCCAATAAAGCAAATCTCAAACAAAGCAACCTTTCTTTCCGGGCTGTTAAGACACTTGTGAATGAAGATGTGGGGCTGGGAGCCTTCGGGATGCTGGGCCTTGAGCAGCTGTATCGCTGCAGGGAACCCAGGGCCTCCAGCGTTGCCCTAAGATATGCAAGAAGTACAGACAAAAAGATGTACCTGCCAGAACGCTTTGGTGGGAAACGAAGGGGTGTTTTGTTACTTTTTTTTTGTTTGTTTCTTCCTTATCAGGCTCTTTCTAGACTTTACAAGCAGAAGCAGATGGTAGGGACCAGTACATTTTACTTCTTTGTTCTTGCTGCCTGTGAAAGGTGCCAGATGGGCAACGATAAAGATAGAAATTCTCTTCCTGTAGCCCAGGCACAGCAAAAATGCAGAGCTTCAAGGCTGCCCTATCCTCACAGGATCACTGTAATGTATTTTTTGGGGCCCCACTGGTTTCACTCTTTGGCTTTTTGCCAGGAAACTGCCAGAAAATCCCAGGGGCAACTTGATGGGGGCATCAAGACCATTAAAATATTTCACACAGGACACCAAACCACCACTGGGTTTGTATCACTCACAAATGGGCCAAAAAATACACAGGCTAGGTATGAAGTGCAAGGCCAGATCCTTCATATGAATAACTTGGAAAATTAAATACTGTGTACTCTGAGAGGTGTTTATTTACTGGGAATTATGAATTATCAACATTTTTATATAAGTGTTTCAAAGGTACCATTTAATTAATGTAATTAGCAGCAGTATTCTTAACCATTTTCTTAATGAAGATGGACAGCTATGGACATGAAGGGCCTCATTCATGACTCAATGAAGTCTGTGTAATTAAATTGTAATATTCTCCACAAACTGCTTTAAAATGTTAGGGGTCATTTTGTGTTGCAAAGCAAGGAATTATATATTGATTTTCATTAGTCTGAGTCTTTTCCTAGAACTGGTTTTAGTGTACTAGAGTCCTTTGAACCTAAGGACTTTTTTTTTGTTTTGTTTTTCTAAAACCACACAGCGTCTGATGCTATATTCCAACAAAGTCAAAAGCAGCATTTCAAGATTAATGCAGTGATTCCTGGGGTCTTTTGTCGGCATGCCAGACTCTTGTTCCTGTTCTAACTTAATTTTTTATAATT